AGAGGAGCCAGCATTTTAACCTCTTTCTGATTCAAATTTCTTTTGTTTTTAACTAAAAGCAGTGAAAGGGATCACATTTTTCTTGCTTTCCATGGTCCCAGGGAGTCAGCAGCCCCCTCTCCCTTCCATGTTATGTGCTTTCTTCCTCAGATGCAGCGCTGAAATGGAGGCCACGGCTCTGTTTCACCTGCATTCACTCCAAGCCTGAGAGCTTCAAAGGGGTTGAAGAACTAAATGTGGTATGATACCAAGCTTTCCACAGAAAATTATTCCCTGCAGCCATTGCTTGCCTGGCTTGTGTCCAGGCTGGCATCGCTCTGTATCCCAGCCATCCCTCCCGCTCCAGAACATGCATTGCACACTAGCTGTAACCTGCACGGGGTTCATCCCGCTCCATCCTGGGATGATGCTGTTCAGTAACACCCCCAGCTTAACGTGCCATTTCTTGAGAGGCAATAAATTGTATTGTACCACTGTCTCCCATTCCTCCGTTGAATACGCACATCTCTCTGGATATATATATATGGTATCTCATGTGTATATATTTACTCTGTATGTATGTGTGTGTGGGTGTACGTGCACACACACCTCATGCTGTGCATTTCTGGCAGGGCACTTCAGTTCTGCTGTTCTATACACTCCTGTTGATGAGCAAAAGCAACCCCTGCAGCAGGGCTCTTGAGGGTGAGGGCATGAACATCTGCTTCAGGACTGCCCTGCTCACTGTAGCTTGCTGTTTCTGGAGCATGGGAGGGTGAGGTAGCCACTGTGAAGGACTGAAGGGAGCTCCTAGAGGGTACCAGAAAGTCAGAAGACAGCAGAGAGGAAAACACAATGGTTTAGCAATAGGAAAGCAGTGGAGGTGTTGTAAGGATCTGCTGGGGAGGGGGCCAGGGCAGCGCCGAGCTCCCAGTCCCCCCCTGAATCTTGCCATGAAGGATCACAAGTCTTGGCACTTTCTTTTGGCATTCCTGAGTTGAAGCCACAGCTAACTCCAAACACTGTCTCCTTCTGTGTGCATCTCATAGCTGGAGCAGGCTCTGTGGAGGTTCAAAGGAGAAGCTAAATTGGAAGACTTAAAATATGTGTGTGTACAGCATAGACGTGTATGTGCACACACAGGCACTTTAGGTCCATTCCTCCTTCAGCTTAGGCACGTGTCTTTGGTTACTTGGTGGCAGAGGACAGTCTTGTTCTCCTTGTGGGTGCTTGCTCTGCATTTCTAGTGAATCTTGCCCTGCTCTCCCTCTCATAGTAGAGGGGTGAGTGCCATGCTGGACACCACGAGCTCCTCAAGCTGTGAAGATCCTTCTCAGCTTCTCCTTTGTCCTCTCTAGACCCCATCTTAGTGAGATGTCTGGTATTTTGGGGATAGATGGTTCTTGCGTGTATCAAGTCGCAACTGTTCCTCCAACTGCAATGTTTACCTGCAGGGGAAGCCCAGCCAGCTCAGCAGTGTGCCAACACGGGCTCTCTTTGTTGCTACCAGAGATTTTGGAGGCAGTTTGCCCTCACATCCCTTTCGGAAGGTCTCGTGTGAGTTCCTTAGGCAAGGCTCGGGTTTGGTTGGGACATCCTTACCCTTTCACAAGGAGTTGTGTCGTCTTTAGCTGTGGGCAGCGAGCCCAGAGCCACGTGCCAAGGCTGGAGGAGTGCGGCATGCCCGGACAGGGCTGCTGCTTGGTGCCCCTCTGCTGTGTTGGTTTCAGTTTGCACTTCTTTGAGTCGATTTGAGTCGGAGTCTGTTGAGAAATAACGTGTGAGGCGCTTCGGAGGGTTGTAGGTAACTGTTTATAGCCAAAAAAAGCCCCCACCAAAAGCCAGGCTGATGGATCTCGTGGCTGTAGTAAACATCACCCCAGCAGGGAACGATGGCAGCGGATAACCCTGGTTCCTGTTGCACAATGAGGTTCAGCCAGCTGGGGCTGTGACGCTGCTGGCTGCATCCCTGCCCCTTCTCCTGGGGAAGGAGAGGCCTTTATCAGCTAGAGAGGGACTTGGTAAATCAGATTTGCTGGCAAACAAGCACCTTAACCACCGAGCTGTGGGTCTTGATACTTGCACTTCACCTGAAGGCTCCTTTTGGAGGGGGAGGAAGGCAGTTTGGTATGTGACGGTTGGCTTTGCACCCGTTCAAACATCCTAAAGCCATGTCCTAGGGAAAAACCAAACCCCACCATCAGCTCCCTCTCTCCTTTGCTTTCTCTGAGTGCACACACTGAGTCCAGGAACCAGGAGGGCCGAGCGTTGTCCCCACGGATGTGAACAAACCCGGGGGGACCTTCGCCCCTCCGGTCCCCTGCCCCACTCCCCACCCTTGAGTACGGGTACCTCAGAACATGCACAGATTGACTTTTCACTGACAATGAGCTCGAGTTATTGTGAGTGAAAAGAGTTGTAATTACCTGTAAATATGTAGTTAACAAATTGACCTAGTTTCTGTATTTTTTAAGTTTTTGTACTAAAATTTATAGATACAGTTATGTGCCAGCTAGCAAAAAGCTACTGTAATTGCCAGTCGTAGTTCAGCATGCATCTAATCCCGAGACTTGTCCAAGTGATGCCGTAAGGAATTGTGCTTAAATATTGCGAGCTGGGGCAGTGGGGGGGGACGGGGACCGGGAGGCCAGTGGCCACTCACCTGGGCTTCCAGCTTCCAGCCTTCAGCCAGGTTTTCCATGTGGAATGTTCCCCCCATTGCGCCGTGTGCTGTGTATGGGGCAGTGCGAGGGATGGAGCGGTGGCTTCGAGCTTTCTCTGGAGCTGAACTCAGCCGAGTTCAGGTTCTTTGCTGCAGTTTAATACCGGCTTAGGACTCTTTTAGTTTTCAACCCTCTCTAGAAGCGATCTGTTTTCCCTCTCTGACTGCTTTTGTCTTTAAACCCGAGATCATCGAAACCTACTGGAGGGGAAAGAGAGAAAAGGAACAAAAACAGGAAAAAAAGACTTTTCATTTCAGGTCGTTGCCTGCTTTCAGTGCCAGGATCACGCATTTCTATGGCAACTCTGAGCTCAGCAGAGTTTAGGAATCAGCGCAGGGTTGTGAAGGAGCTGAAGTGCTGCTGCTTCTGCAGCAGGGCGAGCCTGTGGGTGCCATGCGGAGGGTCTCAGTGCTCCATAAACCCTGCTGCTAAGCGAGGGGTGAGCTCCTCGTGCTTCCTAGGAATGGAGTAAGGACCTGTGCTCCTTGTCTTGTGGCAGAGGCACGTCTGCAAGTCGAGATGAGCTTTGCTGAGCAGCCCGGGAAGCCGCGGGCAGAGGAGTTTGAGGTCTGGTCATCCTGGAGGTCGTAGGGGAGATGGGAGCTTGTAAGGATTCATGGATCACGTACGGGTTTGGCTTCTGGCAAGCAAACCACCCGCTTCCTTTCTTCAGCTTTTCTTCCCTCCTGACCCCCCCCCAGCAGCTCTTCCCTCCACCCCTGCTTGCTTGGAACAGGAACATTTCTTACCTGCCTAGAAACAGCTAAAAGATATTTGGGGAGGGGTGGGGAGGGAGGGTCAGCCCTGATGTAAATAATTAACGTTGCAAAGTGAAGTGTGTATAACATAAAAAGGCTACAGCCCTTTGGTGACTTGTATAAATGCTTGAGGAGGTTGTGGGGAGGAGATGGAGGAACAGAGAGACCTGCCCGGGGCACCGCAGCCATCGCTGCCCCACCAGCACCGACACCAGTGGGTCGGGAAGGGGGGACCTCGTGTCCCCCAGTGTGGGATCCCCCGTGCTTTAGAGGGTGGGATGTGTGTGATACGGATAGGAGAAGCTGTGTGGGGTGTGTATAGTGTATATTTTTTACAAATAGCTTGCTTGTATTGTGAAGAATTTTAAAGACAAACTTGAGAATTCTAGCCTAACTATTAACACAAGTTTAACATCAGTTACCCCACTGGGTTCAGAGCCTCTTGAATGTATATTCCTTTTTGTAACCTAAATGACCTATTCTTCTACCAGTCAGCCAGACATCCTATTTATATTTTTAATTTTATATATTACTTTTCCATTTGTTCTCATTATTTCCAGCATGTTTCTGGGTTTGGTTTTTGTTTGGTTGGGACAGCGGGGGGGTGGGGGGGCGGTGGTGGTTCTTTTTTTTGCACAAGCATTGTGTGAAGTCAAGGAAATATTAACTCAAACCTGGTATTTTCCAACCTGTTCCCCCCTTCCCCTTCCTCTCCTCCACCCCTGGTGTGTTCTTTTTTCCCTTTCTTCCACCACCAGGTTGGGGTTTGTCTGGGCTGGGATGCAGCGGGTGGGAGGAAGGGGATGGCTCTTTTTCCATTCCCAAATGCCAGGTCTTCGGCAGTCAGCTCAAAAGCTCTTCACTTGCTGATTGCTTAAAAAAAACCAAGAAAACTAAAATAAAACAAAACTAGAACCTTATCAGTGCGGGAGGAGGGGAAGGGCACACCTGTAGCCACACAACTGCTTTGGCTGCGAAACAAGCGCCTGGCGAGCAGGTAACCACGAGGCAGCTCCAACCCTGGCCGTGTGCACAACCCCGAGAGCTGCCTCTGACAGCAAAGGCTCTTGCTGCTTTTCCTCTCCTCCTTCTCCTCTTCCTCCTCTTCCTCTCCCCCCCTCCATCCGGAGGTCCCAGCTCACCACCAAGAGCTCGCCCAGCGCCGTGGCATCCCCCAGCTCTAGCAAACCCCGGGTGCCACGTGGGTTTTACCGGTGCCAGAGAGCATTAGCGATTAACCAACCACACACACATATCTGCTGTTTTACTATGAACACTGGTCTGAGGTTTCCAGGCCCAGCGCCGCGGTGATGGGCCCACGAAGGATTGAACATGGGGAATTAAAAACTCCTTTCCTGCTTCCGTGTCTGGTAGCACCAGCTGGTATGAGTGAACCTACAGGTGTGCGTTTTCCTTCTGGTAGAAAATGCCACGAGCACTAACTGGTAAGGCTTAATGTACAGTATATTGTCAGTATTCTGGTATTCTTCTGGTTCAACATACATTATAGCTCCTATATAACCTGTATTAATTGTATAGATTGTGCATTTAAAAAAAAAAGACAAAAAAAGCTGTTACCGAGTTGTCAGAAAAAAAAGAAAAATAAGAAAAAAAAAAAATAAGAGAAAGGAAAACCCCAATAAGGTCATATGTAATATTTTGTTTGTAAGTATCCTTTGTATCATAGCAAAGGAAATGTTAAAAACAACAAAAAAAAAAATCAACTGTAATAAAGTAATTTTAGTACACGGAGTGTCTGCCTGCCTTCCCTCAGCCTCCCCTTCCCCACCGCGGGTTACCGGGTGTACGACCTTTGCCATGTAAAGATGGGGGGCTCCCCAACGGGACCCCGCAGCCTGCGCGGCCGCGGCAGCCCCTTCCTGCGCTCCTCTGCCCGCAGGAACTCCGCCATGGCCCTGAAGTACTCGAACACGGCCTCGTGCCCCCAGCAGCGCCCCGGGCCCCGCTGGGGGAAGCCGCAGTGTCCCCCATGGGGGGTCAGCAGCAGGAAGAAGTAGGGGCTGGTGCGGAAGAGCTCCAGGGGCAGGCTGCGAGCGGCGGTGCCGCGTACGGGGTCATCGGCGCTGCAGAGGCACAGCACGGGCACGGCCGCCTCGTCCGCGTCGCGCAGGGGCTCGTTGCGGTCCCAATAGGTCTCCCAGCTCGTGGCACGGGGCTTGGTGTGGCAGAAGAGGGTCTCCTCCAGGTCCCGCAGTGAGCGGCTGCGCAGCAGCTTCTCCGTGTCCACCACCTCGGCCAGGGACCTTGCGTACCTGCAGGGATGGGTTGGATGCAGCCGCCTCAAGTGGGTTGTGGCCATGGCCCTGCACACACGGAGTGTGTGTGGGGGGGGAACCTGCAGCCCCTTCCCGCTGGAGCTGGTTTTGGGGTCCCCAGCCCAATGCTGGGGCGGGGTCCCCGCAGTGCATCCTGTGCCAGCGCTGGTACCATGGCAACGGGAGGCAGCCAGCGCTCTGTTGCCATGGCAGCAGTGGTTGCAATGAGTATCGGGAAATAGGGGGGGGTACACCGTGCTGCCAACACCCCCCAACAAGGCCAACAGCTTCCCACCCCTCCCCAGTACCCCCCACAGCCCTGTAGTAAGTCAGGGGCCTGTTGCACCACCCGGGCTTTGCTGAGGATTAAGTTCCCCCCCAACATTTTAGGGTTTACCTGCATTTTTTTGGGGGGAGCCCTCATTTGCCCACCAGCAGGACGCTTTTGCCCCCTCCAGGGTCTCAGCAGCACCCAAGGAGGTGCCACTTGCTCAAGGCCTTGGCATGGGGCAGTTTATCTCCTATCCCTGCCCCTGTGGTGGTCTGGGGCAAGAGAAACCCAAGACCCTTGGGGTTTGCGGTCATAGACCCTCTCCCCACCAGAGCCCCACAGGGTTTGGTTGGATGCAGAGGAGGGGGTGTCCAGCCCTGCTCAGCAGCCCCAGGGTCCAGCGCAGCACAGGGGCTTTGCCAACCCACCCTCCTGGTGACGTCTCCCACCCCAGGGACCCCCGCACTCAGCCCCAGCCAGGTCGGGCAGCGCATGGTGGCCCCATGGCAGCCGGCTGCAGGCTGGTGTTCATTAACCAGCCCATTTTGCTGCTCTCAGCACCTCCGTCCCCACGCTGGGGCTCCATGTACCGCCAGCAGCACCCATTGCATGCACCCCCCAAGGGCTCCCGGGTACCCCCTCCCCAGGACCAAAGGACCCCACTGACCTGCTGAGTCCCTGCTTGAGGTGCAGGAGCAGCGGCCACTCGTAGAGCCAGGGCATCCCGGCCTCAAACCAGTCCCGGCCACGGAAAATGGGGGAGATGCAGGCGGCGGCGGCCAGGCGGCTGGAGGAGCCGCTCTCCCCCAGGTAGGCGAGCAGCAGCCCCGAGCCTGAGCCCTCGCTGACGGCCAGCAGCGGGGCGCTGGGGTGCCGGCACTGCAGGTAGGTGACGGCCTCCCGCAGGTCGCGGGGGTCCCCGAAGGGCTGGAGCCGGGGGGTGGTCAGGGGGCAGCCGTTGTGGCCCCGGCGGTTGAAGATGACGGGGATGAAGCCCTTCTCCAGCGCTCGCAGCCCCAGCTGCAGCAGCCCCCCCGTCACCTTCCCGGCGGCGTTGGGGATGAGCAGCAGCACCGGGCTGGAACCGCCACCCCCCGCAGCCCCCCATGGCCCCACCAACCAGTCCAGGGCCACCAGTCCAGCGTCCGGCATCTGCAGGAGCTCTCTGGCCACCACCGGCTCCGGCTCGGGCGGCTGCAGGAGCTGCTGCAGCATCTGGAGCCGGGGCCAGCGTGGCCATGGCCAGTGGCCACCCCGCAGCGCCACCGACCGCCCCAAGCTCCGCACCAAGTGCTGGGCCAGCGCCGAGGGCTTGCAGAGCAGCCGGCAGCGCCCGCAGCCATCCTCGGTGATGAAGAGGATCCCCTCCTCTTCCTCCTCCTCCTCCTCTTCTCCCCAGGCTCCAGCCAGCTCCACCCTCCCTGCCCAAAGGCACAAGGCCAGGAGGCCCAGACCCATGAGCACCGCGGCTGCGGCCACCAACCCCTCTGGGGACACCATGGAGGTGGCGGGCGGCAGCCCCGGTGCTCGGCGGGTGCGGGAGCGGTGGCAGGAGAAGCCCGGCCCCGGGGCTGGGCGAGCGGTGGGGCCGTGCTGGGGCCAGTGGGGCTGTGCCGGGGCTGGCGTGACCGCGGGCAGCCGGGGCCAAGGGGACTGGGTGAAATGGGACGGACACGTGGCTGAGCGCTGCCTGGTGCCGGGGGGGGGGGTGAATCCCATTGCAGCCATAACCGCCCCCCATCGCCGCAGGAGCCGGGTGCCCGTGCAATGCTCACACCTTTATTGATACAAATGTACAAGGACACATCTTACAGTAGGGAGCGTGGCCCCAGAGGGGGGGAAAAAGGGGTGCAGGACACCCAGGGATGGGGTCCCCATGGGTGCCCCGGTCCAGTGTTAACGCTGCGGGTGGCCCCGGGGGTACCGGCCGCCCAGCGAGGGGCTCTCTGGGGAGGGGTTGGGGGGTACATGGCCACCGCCGCCATGGACACAGGCTATGTACAGGATAAGTTAGGTGAGGCCAGGGGCTGTACAGGGGGGATGTGGGCACCCACCCCCAGCACCTCAGTGGCATGGTGGGGGGGGGGGGCACAGAGGGGGAGCTCACCCCACACCCTGGCTCCCCATGGGCAAAAGGCCACGTGCAGCCGCGCTCACCCCAGGTGCCAGAGGGGAAGGAGAGACAAGAAGAGAGTGGAAAGGGGGGCTCGGGCCGGTGCTCACTGCTTCTTCTCGCGGGTGGTGATGGTGACCAGCTGCTTGGCGGCCTTGGCGATGTCGTAGGCACACTGGATGACCTGCTGCGTCAGGAGCTGGTAGTCCACGGCGGCGCCAGGCTCGGGGGGCACGGTCTTGCGGCACTCGCTCTGCAGGCGGTAGGCGCTGGCGTTGAGCAGCCGCAGCGAGCTCCGCACCGTCTCCAGTGCTGGCTTCTGGAAAGGGGCACAGGAAGCATCAGGATCCGCACCAGGGGGAACCGGTGCCTTGTGGGGAGCCCCCCCCAACCAAACCCCTTCCCACCTTGGGGAACAGCGATGCCATCTCCGTCACAGCCGAGTGGATCTTCTCCGAGCAGGGCATGAAGCTGGGAGCAAGGAGAAAGGGTGAGCACGGGGGGATAAGGAACTGCCACCCCTGTGAACACAGCCCCGAGGCCGTGCCCCAGCCCTACCTGTCGTGCTTGGACTCCTGCGCCGCCCGCAGCAGCTCCTGGATGTTCTTGGTGACCTGCTCGGTTTTGAGGATCACGTCCTCCGTGCTGGGCAGCCCCGGGTCCAGCTCCCCGTCCAGCGGGTCCAGCTCATGCGGGAAGTCCTCGTCCTTGCTCAGCTCCACAAACCGCTTCCCCTCCATGCTGCAGGGATCGACCAACGCAGCCGGGTCAGTGCCAGCCCCGTGGCCCTGTGGCCATGCGTGCCCCGGCCTCGGAACGCACCTGATCAGGACCTCACCCGCCTGCGTGTTGTCGTAGTCGCTGTCGGTGCCGCTGCCGTGCCGGTCCAGCTTGCTCTGCAGGGGACAGGAGCAGCGTCAAGCCCTGCCCAGCCCCATCCCAGCACAGGGATTGGGGTCTCCCCACCCCAAGAGCTTCCCCTCTCCCAGTACGTCACCATGTGCCGGGCACCGTCAGGTGGGCAGGAGAGCAGCGGGGAGGATGGGGGAAAGGGCACCGAGGAGGCAGACGGACCTTTCCGCATCTGGAGGGGGATAAAAAAGGATAAACCAGGCCTAAACACGGTGCAGAGGGGGCTGGAGCCAACCCCGGTGACGTGCAGGGAGGATGAGCACAGGGGACACCGCTCCCTGCATGCAGGAACATCCCATGGCTGCTGTTCCTTGGGGATGTTCCCAGCCTGACCTAGGGGAACCGACACCCGAGAGCCCACATCCCAGGATAGACACAGCCCACGCAGGAGCCATCCCCACCGCGGCCCCCTTACCCGGTACACACTGGCTGGGATGTGCATGGAGTACAGAGCCTCGTCCTCCACCTCCTGCTGACACATGGAATGTTACAGCCCCATGGCGATGGGACCCAGCGCCCCAAATACACACACCCCCCCCTTCCCATCCCAGCACACTCACCCCAGCACCAAAGGGCTGCAGCCGGGTCACCAGCTCCTCCACCGGCTGCCCAAAAGGCTTCAGCGCCGAGCCCGGCTCGTACATGGAGAAGGCCTGGCGGTCCCGGCGGAGCGGGGGGGCCGTGCCCGGGGGGTGCCCGTGCTCCGGCCGCTCGCTGGGAGCCGGGGTTGGGTGCGTGGGCCCAGTCTGCTGCCGGATCTGCGTGTTCTCTGCCTGCAGCTTGTGGATCTGCAGCCAAGGACGGGAGGCGTCAGCGAGGAGGGGGCCATAGCAGGGATGGGGTATGACAAAGGAAGGGTCCCCGCTGGTCCTGCGCCCACCTCGCGCTGCAGCCGCCGCAGCTCATCGCTCAGGCTGTTGTTCACCTTCATCAGCTGCTGCACCTTGGCCTCAGAGGCAGCCAGAGCCTTCTTCACCTCCAGGTACTCCTGCAGCGTGATGGGGCCGTCCGAGAGGTCGGAGGAATCCATGCTCTATGGGGACACAGGCTCAGTAACAGAATCCCAGCGGCAGGGCTGTGGTCCGGGATGGGGATCCAGGCTCACCCGGGCACGGTTGTTGCGGGACGCGTTGCGCAGCAGCTCCTGGTCCGTATCCTCGTCGGAGGCAACGCTGTCGTAGTCGTGCTGGTCGTCCTGGTCGCTCTGGCTGCGCAGCGAGTAGTCGAGGGCGTCTGGGGCGAGGGGGGCAAAGGGGGTGCTGAGCACAGGACAGAGGGGAGATGCTCAGCTGCCCCCATCGCTGCCCCCATCCCTCACCTGTGGGACTCAGCAGACTCTTCCCTTGCTGCCGGCGCTTGGCTTCCCCGAGGATGTCAATGAGCAAAGTGGCGAATTCCCTGGCGTTGAACCTGGCCAGCTTCTGACGGCCCTGGGAGGAGACGGGACGGGACAGAGGGAGAAGGGAGTGAGCAGGGCTCGAGGTGCAAAGGGGTTGGGGGGCACAGGGCTTTGGATGGGGCTCACCTGGTTGCGTGTGGCCGAGTACTCGGGGTTGACGGGCAGGAAGGGCACGGCGCTGCGCTCCGTCACCAGCGTGCTGTGGTTCTGTGTCGTCAGCCACACTGCGGGCAGGCAGCGGGCTCAGACCCCCGGGGGGGGGCTACGAGGACTGGACCCCCCCCTCCGGAGCAAGCTGCAGCCTGGGGCCAGCAGCGGGGCCGGCAGGACGCAGGCGCGGGCGCAGGGCCAGGCTTGGGCTGGGAGCGGAGCCCGGCCAGGATGACGGGAATCGCCTTCCCCGGCCTCCCCCCAGGGCTGGGGACCCCTCCAGTGCCACCCCCTCCACTCCTCACCCTTTGGGGCACCCGCTCTGCACTCCCCATGTGTCAGGGAGTGGGTTTGGCACCCTTATCGGTGCCCATCCACCATAGAAATGGGGTGACCCCCACCCCACCACTCCCCCCCCCCCCCAGCTCAAGGGCACCCTCCAGGCTGTGCCCCCATCCCCGGGGGGGGTCCCGGCACCCACCTCCAGCAGCACCCCAAGCCCTGGCACCCAGCAGCGGCCCCTCGCACCGAGAAACCCTCCCCGGCCAGAGGAATGAGGAAGGAGGGGCCTGCGGTCCCTGCGGACGCATCCGGATCGGGGTGGGGGGAGCAATGGGCTCAGCCCTGGCCCCACCGCCTGCTCCTCCCCGTGCCGGGACGCCCGCCCCAGCCCTGGGGGGGTGCTCCCTGCGCTCCCCCCGCCCCGGCTCACCCGCGTCGTTCTCCCTCCGGTCCACCTCATCATACACATCCATGGCCAGCTCCTCGAACAGGCGGTTGCTGAGCTGCAGCGGGAACAGGGAATGGCGTCAAGTGGGATACGGGGAGCGGATGGGACCCCCCCCCTCCGCCCCCAAAGCCCTGCCCTGGTTCCAACTCACCGCTTGCAGCTTCTTCTTGGCTGCCTTGGCCAGCTCAGAGAGGTCCAGGCTGGGGGTGTGCGAAGAAGGGGGAAGACACTGGGGTTATCCCTGTTCTGTCCCCACTAAAACAGTCCCCGGCTGCACCCCACTAGGACCAGGACCCCCCCCCCAGGGCTGGCGAGCAGGCACACGGGGATGAGGTGGCAAAGGGCGAGCAGGACCCCCCCCTCCCTGGGTGCCCTCCAGGCTGGGCAGGGGGGACCCATGCCAGTGGCAGTGGGGGGACCCCCGGAGCCAAGCAGACAATACCTCTGTGCCATGCACTTTGGGCGCACCCTGCGCTCCGGAGAAGGCAGCGGAGGGAAGAACAGGATAAAGGCGGATGTTAAACACGCGGACCCCCCCATGTACCCCCCAAAGGATGCTCCAGAGCCAGTCACCGGGAGGTGACCGCGGTCCCCCCCCTTCGGCCCAGCGGGGATGCCGAGGGGACCATGGGACAGGGCAGCGGGGCTGCGGGCACGGGGCACTCACCTATCGGCCATCTGCGGGATGATGTAGTGCCCGTTCTTGTGGTCTGAGCAAAGAGAGGGGGGGTGAGCAGGGCCCTGTGCCCCCCCCCCGGGTTAGCCACCCCCGGGGACCCCCGTGCTCACCCGGCTTCCTGCCGCAGAGGTAGAAGGCCAGCCGGTCGGTCAGCTCGTACTGGCACTCCACCAGCCGCTCCGCCAGCTCGTGCTGGGCTGCCTGCCTGTGAGAGGATGGGCATGGGGTGATGCACACCCTATGGGGGTGCAGGCAGAGGGTACCTCCCCCCATTCCCCACCCTCACCTGGCATAGTCAATGGGGGTCCGGCCGTTCACATCGGGTGCCCCGGGGTCGGCGCCATAGACCACCAGCAGCTCTGCCTGCAGGATCTGGCCGGCCTTGGCCGCCACGTGCAGTGGCGTGGTGCCTTTCTCCTGCAGGCACGGGAAGCATCAGCCCCACATCCTGCCCATGGGATGCAGGTCTGGACCCCCACCCCCCCCCCCAAATCCCATCCCCATCCCCAGACACCCCCAGCCCCACCAGTGCTCACCGGGTGGAAGAAGTTGGCCTGTGCGCCCAGCGACAGCAGGCGCAGGCACGTCTCCAGGTTGCCCGTCCGCACGCTCGAGTGCAATTGCTGCGGAGGAGAGAAGGGGTAAGGGGGGGGGAAATCTGTCCCCAGCACCAAGAGGGGGCCCTGCACCCACACCCCACCTTGCTGAGGTCCTTGGCAGTGACACCATCGTCATCCCGGCACGGCAGCTTGTGGACAAAGGCCAGCATCTGGTA